TCCAGTATTGCTCGGATTTTGGTAATTCTTAAATATTTGTGATCCAAGTTAGTTGCTTTATTGTCACCGGGTACCACATATCCAGAGGACATAAAAATCTGCATTATCAACTTCGCGGGCTATTCTCCTTAGTTACGACTTTTTTTAAAATTCCAACCTTGTCCGAATTGTCCGACTGCATAACTGGGTGTATTAATGACACACTGTTCAACCAGAACAAGGCAGGTTTCGCCAGTTCAAATTGATGCAATTTGTGATAATAATATAGCTGTTTCCATTCCTGACGCAACTTTTAATCTAATTCTTCTTCATGACAACACCGGCTCGAGCCTGCCTTCTTTGAATAGATTTATTAAAGGGAAAATCATTAATATGTACTGGTCATAAAGATACGAAATAAATAAGCAGCTACTAAACAGTCAGAAATCGATCATTACGTTTGCAGGTTGGGATAAAAACAACTCTTTTCCGATCAATGGTTACGAAGAAACAGCAAAAAAAATCTGTAACTTTTAAGTAGCGTTCGATAACGTGAAAAGCATTAGGAAACATTCTTCTACAGAATTGAGCACTAAGATTCCCGTGGGCTTAGTGAGCAATGACTAATTTGTTTGCCACAAAATTAGTGAAACTCGAACACAATTCGGTTACTAGATATACACATGAATAAGACTCGAACAGGATCTTGTACCCCTAAACTTAGAGCAGCAAATATTCACAAAGAAATTAAAAAATAATTGCACACGTGTGTTTACGTATCCGAAATTCCACTAATTACACCATTCCCCCTTCTCCCATTGTCCCGTGTTGGATTAAACTTTTGCACAATAAGAAAAGTAAAGAGTCCGTAGAAATAATTGCGGAATACCAATATGGTACCACTTTTACTAGAAAAAAGCAAAATTTACACGAGGGAACGTCCATAAATTATGTAACACAAAAATCCCGATTATCCAGCACCCCGTCCCCCATGTCACGTATTACACCCCCTTTTGACATGTGGCTGCAATGGGCATGTCACACAGGACTTTTAGACTCTCACCCCTCAGCCGTCACATAATTTGAGGACGTTCCCTGAAATATTACGCTGCTAGTAGGGACTCTAAAATTTTAGCATTTAAATAAATGCGTCCGTGAAATTTATTGTAGATGAAAAGATTCAAGTCATTCATTCTTTTTGAAACAGTTTACCATTTGCCTTCAACACATCTATTTATTTTCATAGTTAACCTTCAATCGCACTCGTCCAGCTTCACCTAGTTTATTTTTGAGTGAGCCTTCCTCCCTTGACATTTCCCACAACAAGTCACCCTTTCTGACAAGGCCACTCAGCTGCAACTAAACAAACTTTTCTTGACATGATCTTGAATCAACCTTCATCTAAGGTTCCTTAATTTCACTATTTTTACTCCTTCTTCATCCCTCCAGCCAAATAATATTTAACCGAGGGCTTGCATTCATCCCACTCAGTTATACTTTGAGTCCCATCCGCTTTGCTTAGCAGGAAAGTATTGATTGCCCAACTAATATTTCATAATATTCAAACTTATTTATTTGACGTAAAGACAGATAAAGCCTGGAATAGTGTGTCAAACATCGTGATATCCTGTACATATTTTACGTACATCCTTCCCTACAAAGTTAAACACAATAAACACCTGCAGAAAAACAATCAAGGATCATAACCCACACTAAATATTCTTGGACAATCGGTACGATCTCTTAACTACATAATATGGACAAATTCTACAAATTTAATTGTTGACAATTTAATAAAGGATTACAATAACAATATACTGAAGCAAATCCTTTATAATATTCTTACATACTTTTGACAGGTTTTAAGCTATTTCCCTTAAAACACAATCCCACACTTATCCCACACTTCCCGCAATCACAGCCCTGCCAATTAACAAAACAAACCATGAAGCTCCCTCATTTCTTGATTCTCATCACATTTACCTTTCCAGTTTTGACATTCCCTACTTTCCCTTCCGTATTACCAGCATCACAACTAAAACTGCAACAAAATGACACAGCCCACCCAAGTTCTCAGAACCTCGGACCACGCTGGCACGCCAACGTGCCCAACTCCTTCTCCCTTTACCAAAGTCACATTGTCACCTCAAGATCTCCCCGACTGGAGAAACAAATTCGTTCGAAACGCCACCTCCTCCAACTTGGCGCACTTGTAGAGGCTCACACCCCCTATTCAGTCTCTCAACTCGTGCACTACGGAAACTGGTGTGGTCTGGGGGGTAACAGGGGCCTCGATTTCTCAGCCATTGTTGAATGCGATGCTTGCTGCCGAGTACACGATTTCTGCTACTTGCATCTCATGTACGCCACGAGAGACTATTTTCTAAGAAATGAAACTCAATATTACACCAAGGATCCTGGGACTTTGCGGGATAATTATCCTGACGTTTTTTTAACTCCAATCAGGGCCGGGATGTGGCGACCCTGTTTTCCCCACATGGACATCTACATAAATCCAAACAAGGGTGCTCGTTTTCGTAACGAATTAAGTTGTGAGACGAACAGAGGACCGGGACGAACTTGCACCAGGGGTGCTTGTCAATGTGATGTGGATTTTATTAGGTGTCTTCAAAATACGCACTGTTGACGTGTTGTACATACGGCGCTGAGTGCATTCAATATGTGAAAATTATTGGACAGAACTGACTCAATTTACTAATTATTAAATACTGTATAGATGCAACGTAACCGAGTAAAGTAATGTAGCAAGGCGTTTTTTTAGCGAGATTAACGTTATAACAATTTAGTATACACATTAGATGTAATAGTACACAGTCCCCCGATCTGACCTGAGCTCCGGCACGGAACTTCTGTCTAAACTAACTTTTCCTCAATCTGTGACGACTTTTGTGACTGCGAACGGGGGGCATTTTTTCTATGTTGTGACAAGTGGGGAAATGAAAACGGAGCGGTGACCTCTCCTCCTCCCAACTCATCGCCCCTTCTCTCCTCCTCCCTTTATTTCTTACTTGTACACATTTCGTTTTTTAGTGAATTATTATTATTAATATTACTTATTAGGACTGTTTTTTATTGTTGTTGATTATCATGATCGACATTTATTGTTTATAGCAAAAATCTAAAATTTCAACTCAAATGGAATGGAAGTAAGGCAGTTTCTTGTGATTCCTAATTTTAGCATCAAGTTTAACTAAAAGTAAGGATCTTTCTAAAAGGATATATTGCAAACCCGATTATGAATTTACATAATTTAATTAGTAAATTCTCAAGAAAGAGTTACTGATTTTAATTTAAAACTTTTAACTTTAATCGTGAATCTAACAAGAAATATGAAAATAGTTGCACACCTTTGTACATATTTACATTTTTTAGGTTAGGGTCCCATATTGTACGACTTCCGCATAGTCAGTTTTTTTTATAATGTATTGATGTATTTTTTAATTTTAATTAATTAATTAAATTAATTTTGATAAATACGTATTCTAGAGTTTAGAAACAATAAAATTAAATTAGTTCCAAATTTTAAGAGAAACAGCCTAAATTGTTAATTACCTATTAATGGATTTTAAAAGTAAATTCAAATAAAAAACAAAATTACTTAAAAGATGGCAGAATGAATTATTTTGATTCTATTTTTATCTACTGATCTAATTCCTAACAAAGATAGACGCAGGAACAAAAGATATGGAAGAGGTGAGTGGAAATTGGCTACACAAATAAAGGCGACGTAGCTGACGACGAACGGTAGAATCACGGCTGCAAAGGAAAATATTTCCAAAATTATTAGTAATTATAATTTTATGCATGTAGACAAACGATAGTGTATGTCGAAAGAAAAATTGTGAGCGTCGAAGGCGCGAGCGGCACCGGGCGCACCAATGTACTTGCCCACCCACCTAAATTTTTGTTTAGCTTAGGCACTGGCAACATAGGAGATAGTAGAGAAACATGTGCGCAGAATTTGTATAATGCGGGTCTGGTATTTTACTACATATACACACTTTTCAAACTAGAAGGCGAACCTGTGTAGAATTACCATTATAAGAATGTATGCACCTAAATATTACTAGTGCTCTAAGTAAGTTGTTTGGTTGTGGTGCAATATTTATATTTAAACAGAGATGTGTTGCACCCACTGTGGACAACACGAAGGGTAAGTAATACCTAGAAAGAAAGGTTGTAACTCAGGTAGATAATTATTAATAAACGACATACTGAGAAGGTGGAAATATATAGTGGTATGCATTTACTATGGTTTTGCTACAGCTAGGTCAATGTCTGAAATATTATACTTCGACCCTTATACATAGTTTGACAATCCACGATGTAAAAATATCTGAGGAGTAGTGATTACTAAGCGTCAAACAGATATTTATGTAGACGAGGTAAATCATTCGCCAGGTGCTGACTTGTTGGAAAATAATAAAAATTTCTGTGTCAAGTTGGTTGCAAGATATTTACTACGAACGTTAAGTATCGGATGGCAAATTAATTTGAGAGAAAGTGGACTAGTTTTTTGCAGAGTATTGTTGCCACTTTGTCCTGTTTTCTAGAATGTGTTTTCTTGAATGGTTATTGAGTGGAAAATAATACTTGATTTTGGTGACTTTTGTGAAAAACTGAAATTGTTATCATATATATATCTCTACCGTTGCGAGTAGTCAAGGATTTGGCCAAATATTTTACAGGAATTTTTATGATAACCACAAATTAAGACACCTAGTATAAGAAATAATGAGTAAAATGAAATCGAATCAAATTTCAACCTAAAAGTGCAGGATGGGAGCGGTAAATGAGGAAAATCCCTACGCTTACCCCCACTGTCCTAAACGGTACCGCAATCCGGGGACATGGCGGACTCATATGAAATTGCACCTAGAGCCGAATACTTTCCAGTGTCACATTTGTGGAAAGAATTTTAGTGGAATGACCGCACTAAAATGGCACGTGATGTCACAGGACGGTCAGAAACCGCATTCTTGTCCCGAATGTGGCCAAAGGTTTACGCAAAAGGCCAACATGAAAAAGCATTTGGGCACCCATTTCAACCTACGGGAATGGAGGTGCCCCCACGGTGGGAAACCGTTTACGAGGAAATCTCATCTATGATAGGAGCACATGTTGAAAATGTGCACGAAAAAATTAGGAAATATCCGTGTTCCTTTTGCGCGGTGAAATTCACAAGTGTGGACCATAGTAAGGTATGTAGTGTACTTAGATATGGAAAACAAAATTATGACGTTATACTATTCATAGGAAAAGTAAATATTTAATTAGTCAATTTACTCTAACGTTTTGTAAGATATTTAAATTCCCAGACTTTTACAAATACGTTAAATAACAAAAAAATATTTAAAAAACATGCTTAGGTGAGGCTGCGGCTAAATCTCGTCTGTACAAAATCCAGCTAAAGCCATCAATTCGCTTAATTTTGTCTCTATTGGTTACCAGTACCAACCAACTACGTATATTACAATTACAATTAATTTTCAAAATAGCCGCAAATTGCTAGATTAAAACTTTTTAATTTCTCAACCGATTTAAGTCGGATTTGTTTTATTTGAAGCCTAACTGATTGACACATCATAAAAAGAAATCAATCACATATCTTATGCTGGCAAATGTGCGTCAAAAATGCATTTAGATGTTTAAAAACTGTTTAAAATCAAGTTAATGAGATTGCACTCTAAGCATGATCTGAAGTCACCAATTTCATCATTGAGCTGTACAACTTTTGGTTGGAAACCTTTTTGATACGAAGCACCGTTCAGACACAATCTTCGAGCGCATTTTTGGAAGGGGGACGGAAAAGGATATATAGGCTTCGCCGTAACTATGGGTGAATTTTTTTATTGTCACCCACGCTTACCTTGCCTCACCTAAGAAAAAATAGTTTTTTTTGCAACTTTACGCAAGTGGTTTACAGCGGGTTATTTTTTATAATAAGTTGGGCATTGTATAAATTATATTAGAAAAATTAAATAGCCACAATTTTGGAAGAATAGGGTGAAATTAATAATTAAAAAATTCTGAAAATGCGCTCAGCTAGACAAATCTGTACGACACTTAACTAATGAAACTTGAATTTTCAGCAACACGAGAAGCGTCACCACCAACCACGCCCCAAATGGTTGTTCCGTTTCTACTTTTGTCCCAAGCGTTACATGAAGTCAGACTTTTTGCATATCCATTTGAGAACTCACACCAGAGAAAAGCCCTACCGCTGTGTCCTACCAAGCTGTATGGCTGGATTCCGTGACAACGATACTCGGCGAGGTCACATTGTCCGAGACCATTTTAAAACCGGTAGCTCCAATTCTATCCCATTAAACGAGATATTGCTAAATAAGTGCTACTTTTGTGCCAATCCGCACGGCCGGATGAACGGATTGGTCGTCCATATGAAGAAGCATACGGGTGAGAGGCCCTTCAAGTGTGGGGAGAAGCGATGCCGAAAGAATTTTGTTTCAGGCTCTTATTATCATAGACATTTACAAAATGTTCATTCCATGTCGAAAGAACTATCGATAAGAAGGATGGCGGTACAGAAGGAAAAATCGGCCGCAGAAAGAGATGGGATCCCTTCGCTTAATTTAGAGGAAGGAAATCCAAGCGAGGAGAACGTTGCGGTAAGGCAATTTAAACCTGTTGCCGCGAAGAAGGAGGATGACCCAAGAATACCGGATGGATCGAAGAGAGTGATGAGGCGAAATCTAGAATGTGTATTTTGCGGCTTGGTCTCACCCACTAGGAAGGAGTATGTTGAACACCTGTATGGTGCACATGGTTGCAATGTTGAATATAGAATGGTGAGCAAATTAATATCTAAATAGATTTAAGGGTTTACACTACTATGCGATACATACGGAAAAGATAAGAGAATTTTAGAGTGAGAAACACAGAAACAGAGGTCGTACGTCTTCAGTTTTATTTCTCGTCTATATACCGTAATGGTAACTCTGTCAGTATCACTCTGGGCAGCAGAGAGACATCATCAATACAAGTACTCATGTTTTTGAACTTGGCATGACTTGTGTGAGCGGGCATGATTTAGTCGCTTTTGGTGATTTCAAAATTACAACTTTTTTCTGCAAAATTCCTATTTCTCTCCAGAAAAACATAATTTGGTAACACTTGATATTGCATATGAAAGCCATTAGTTGTACTACAGGTTCGCGAGTTAAAATGACAAAAATATTATTTGTACAAAAAGATAGCTCGGCACGATTCTCATCAAAAAGTATATAAGATTTCCAGCTGCATATATTTTTCCACAAATAATATTTTTGTCATTTTCACTCGCGAACCTGTAGTACAACTAATGATCTTTCATTTGCAATATCAAGTGTCACCAAATTCCATTGTTCTGGAGAGACATAGGAATTTTGCAGAAAAAATCGGGCCATAAACTCAGCATTGCGAGGCATGATGAGATAGAGGGAACTTGTTTTTACTTTAGGTTCTTAATAGGGCAAGTTGGTCTGGTCTTGGCGGCAAGCTAATGAGTTATATGGTTCTTAGGAAAGATACATATGTAGGATATGTAGTACATTAAATGTTTATGTGGTGCATGCAGGCCCCGATCTATGCAAAACCTTTGTGTGGGCGAGAAAATTGAGGCGCCCCAAGCCGCTCGCGCCTTCGGCGCTCGCGAACTCATATTAATTCCTAAGTATAATGAATGACTGACGACAATTTCGGTGGACCCATTAAAACAACCGATTTATTTATTCGTCAACTATATATATATAATCTTATCTAACAGAAAAAACAAATTACTCACGCCATAAAAAATATTTAATTGTCGCATACATAAATTATTAAATAATACAACTAGACAACTGAATATACAAATAATTATAATGCAATCTCCAACCATACTATTTTGTTCAAAATTAACATCATTATAATGCTACTCTGCCCGTTCTACACTTAGACAAAACTTCTATAGTGTCCCCAAATTGAATTGTGGCAGCCAACTCCTTCTCAATTGAAAGCGTTGCTAGTCCTGTTAATCGATCCTGACTCATTGTTGATCTCAAATATGTCTTGATAAGCTTCAGTTTTGAGAAGCTCCTCACACAACTTGCCATACTCACTGGAAGAGTCAAGAATATCCGGAGAATGATGGAAATATTTCCCCCATCTTCATGTCTTTAATGAATTGCAATATTTCATTGGCGATAAGAATTCTGAGATTACCCCGAAACATCAGGCATCTTGCCAAGTTCAACTGCATGTATGACTACATAAATTGCTAGTGCACAATTTTTACAATATTGGGCTTCTTTCTTCACTAGTTTGTTAGTTTGTTGCATTCAATTATTATTGTTTGTTGTGACTTTTCATTTCAAATTTTATGCACCTGGTCACATTCAATTATATCTAGTGTAAAGTGATGCGCCTTCCGGCGCCCCCTGGCCGCGGCGCCCTGGGCAACTGCCCACATTGCCCACCCCAAAATCGGGGCCTGGGTGCATGCATAACGACGCTTACAAAATCTAGGAAACTAGAATCTAGGAATATTTGTTGTTTAAGTATATTATTTAAGTTTATGTATATATTTTACGCGGATTATGTTGCTACCAAATTTGGAGTGATATAATTGCGTCTGTTTATTTTAAAATAAACGGTTCAATTGATTCAGTTTTTTTATTTAAATGTACCAACTTTATTCTATTTTAGCGGGCAGTGCCTCCCATTCACAAGAAAAAAGAGTCGTGCTACTTTTGTCCGAAATCCTTAACTCTGCTCGCTCTATCCTCCCACATGACAAAACATACGAACGAAATCCAAGAACAATGTGAAAGGTGTGGTACAAAATTTAGAAAGATGTCCGACCTGAGATATCACTGGATGAAAAGTTGCACAAAAATTTCGCAACAAGAAAAGAAGAAGTATCCGTGCAAATTTTGTACCAGGATATTCTGCATGTTGTGCAGCTTGGTGTATTACATGCGAATAGTTCATCTCCGAGAGGTTGACAATTTTGTGGAATGTTTTCTCAAATGTGGGAAAACGTTCAAAAGTGTGGAGGAAAGAGATGGCCACATGGACCAGGTGCATTCAAAGGATTCCGGGAATTGGCCATATTCCGTGCCCACCTGCTCCAAAAAGTTTTTTACGAAACTCCTCCTGAAGTTTCATTACGCGAAGGATCATCCCAACGTAAAAAGGTTACCATGTGCAATATTAGAAATTTTTACGTAACATTTACCAACTGCTACGGCTACTTTGGCTATCATTTCGGAAATCTCCATCTGAGAAACCCTAAGCTAAACCGTGTAAAGAGGTGGGCCTCTCAAATTTTCGTATAGAGTTGTAGCAAATTTATTAGTATTTTCACGCAGGAGAGTTCCGAGGTGGTAGCAAAAGCAGCAGCACGTACTCTAAATCAGGAATTGGTAAATTTACTCAAGGTTATGTATTTAAAAGAGTAGGACTATAGTTTGGTAAAAGTTGTAAAAAACATTGTACATATATGAATCTGACGTTCATGTCAAATTATATAAATGTTACCTGCCGGAAATTAATGTGTGGCCTTGTTTTTTTACACAGCTTTGAGTCAATTTAACGTAACCTTATTAAGAATTTACTCACCCTTGAGTAAATACGAGTTGAGTAAATTGATCATAATTTTATTTACAGTGCGAGATCACAACCACATCTGAGGAATAAGTGCCTCATTTGATTGATATTCTACAAGGAAAAGGAAGAGCTAAGGGGTCACATTGAAACTGTGCACGCGTTACGTATTTCGGTCAGATAAAGAAGCAATTTAAATTTGAGATGGAAATGGCAAGGTAACTAAAAAAGATAAATTGTATTTATATTAAATAACGTAGTAAATAAGACTAAATAATTCTTAAATTTCAAAAAATACGGCATGAAATAAAAAAATATGAGAAACCAACCTGTACTTATAGTAAAATCTGAAATTATTTTAAATTTATTTCTGCTAAAAATAATCGCAAACAACTCGAAATATGTATATAACGCTGAATGAATACTTTTTTATATTTCTTTTATTAAATAAATCAAATAATAAAGTTTATCTATTATATCTAGTAAAATTAGGTGATAGTTTTCGTTTTAAATATTTGTGTTCATGTTATCTTGCCCCAGGGTGGCAAGCAGGTTACGAAAAGGGATCGCACAGCTCATCGCAATGAGCACAATTTATATCCAAACAATTTGGACCGTCTCTTTCCAATGGGGAAAGACAGGCAAGAGTGCATAAGGCCCAACATCCCGTACAAAGTGCAATTTTCCCAACACTCCAAATCCCAACGACGCTCGGTAGGAGGGCAGATATTGTGAAGATTAAAGGACAGGAGTAGTGCATTCTACAACACACCGTTATCGAAAGATTATACGAATACAAAGCCAATGGCAAAATTATGAGAAAAATTGTTAGCTTTATAGTCAACTTACCTGGCCCGGATTTCTTGATTTTGGTGTCCTTAGCGTTGCAATGCTGATTAATGCTGATTAATGTTTAAATCACGAAGAGCTACTTTGTAGAATGAGACCGAGTTAAGTCCTTTTATAACAAGGAACGATAAATAAATGTTTATTGGATGTCGGTAGTTGTTTAAGGATATCAATATTTATTGAACATGTCTTGACATATACGCAATTGGTGCTTATCTCGACAAATTTCATTATCATTCGTTATGAGCTACTAACTATGCTCGACTTTAACGTTGTATGAAAAATATTATTCTACAAATTGCGCGGTAACACCGCGGAAAAGGATCTACTGTTTTCGTACCGATTTCAAGTTAAGATTCGGGGAGTAGAATTCTCATTTTGAAAATCGCGCCATGGCTTTAATATTATTATAATTTTTTTCGACTTCAAGATTAGACAAAGTTGTTCTTACAGGGCACTCCGTAGGACCTTAGGGAACATTATTCCATTGAGATTGTGTGAAAAAAGTGTATCCTCTATGCTGTACATTGTTCAGACTGAGGCAATCAAAATTTAATATTTTGAATTTTCGCGCCTAATAAAAGCCTTATCTCAAAAAACTTCATCAGGTACTTATAGTGTACAAATAAGATGGGGATGGTATGGTACAAACCGGTGTTCGATATCTTCTACCCAAACCATTTGAGAACATGTTTAGTTACTACTGGACCACATGACAGAAAACGGTCAATAGGTTAGTAAATAAACTAAATTTCGAAAAACCGTGTGCAAACCCTATCCCTTAGAATTTGAAGGAGCTCCAAATGGTTTTTGCGGTATCTTCTTATGCCGTAAGTTGACGTGAGTGACTACGTACTATATGTTTCACATATACTTCCTGCATGAAAGTAAATGGGGAAAAAATGGAAAAAATAAGCAATGTACGTAATATTGTCGGCCAACAGTTTGATTATACACATCCACAATTCATTTGCATATTGCAAGTGTGATAACTTTTGTTTAACACCACGCTTGTATATACATAATTCTCAGGTGAGACTACACGCATGTTAATTGGGTGGTTTGTGTAATGTATAGTTGGCGGGGTGGTCGTATCATGACGGCAGAGGAATCTGGCCCTTCATCCGCTCGACATGTAACACGGCACAGTCAAATCTATGGTGCCTTCCTCCGACCGAGTAGGTCGTACTGGATTGTTTCCAGTAAGCGATCTCACACTTAAGACATCCTTCTTGGGGTTTAGTTGTTTGCTAACTCTGTGATGCAGCATTGTTGTTCCAAATTGGAATTTCCAATATGTCATGATCCAAGTTTGACAAATAGACACAAGCATTGTTTACACAACGTATTTATTCCAGCACTTATCTTTTGAAATGAATTAATAATCCTGTTTATTGCGCCATGCTTCACTGGTATTGATGACAAGACGTGAAGACCTTTAATATAATATGGATGTGTAGAGAAACAACGAGTTGGCCCATTTGGAATTTGAAGTAAACTAACCGAAGAGAGAACTGGGTTACATTTATCCGTCTATTTATTTACGTTGACAAGTGGGGAAGAATTAAGCTTTGAAATTATGTATGCAGATATATATCTAATTTAGAAACACGTACATAAGTGTAATCAATTTGCTGAATGTTGCGAATATTTGCAGTTCGTCTATTTAGGAGACGAATTAACACGGATGTCAACGTAAGTTACCCCATTTTGTATTGAAGAAGTTAAAACGGCATGAATTGAGTGAGACTATACTAACCTATACACAAATGTTTAGTTTTTTTCATGCAAGACGAAAACACTCTTATAGTCCCTCATCTTTGTTCTATTGAAAGATTTCGTCCTTTCTGCACCAAAACATAGTCACAGCTTCGTAATAAATATGATTCTGCAAGAAAATTTTAGCTTCGGTGGGAGAAAATTAACAATGAATTCGCCAACCCTTCCGAAGGGTTGGCAAATCAAGGACTTGACGAAAATAAATAAATATTTACGAGGTAGATATATCTACTTCGTCTACTACTAATCTATTATAATGGATTAAAGTTTTCTTTGTTCGCAGATACTTACGGTCACATTCTTAATAACACAAAAATCGCCACTTACACTCACACTTTGCTGAGTGTGAGTTTGAGTGGTGGATCGCCACTCAACTCACTTGGTATTCTTAATGAAAAAGAACCTTCACTCAGATTTTGCGAGCTGAGTGCCCAATTTTCGAGCTGAGTTGAGATTTTTGAGTGGGACTTTCAACTTTATTCTCTCTTTCGTATCGGAGAAAATTTTCTGATTCGCAACGTTTGGTTTGAGCTTTAATTAAACGATTAAAGTGTAAAAGTGCAAAATTAATTCATAACGGTGACCAAACCACTAGATAAGAAGCGGAAACTTTTAGCCGGACACGAGATAATTATTTCGTTGGAAGAGGAACTGCAAGTTAAAAAATTGAAACTACTCGATATGCAAATTGAGAGAGAGGAGAAGAATATTCGCATGAATTAAGAATATCATAGGGAGAACATTAAATTAATTAATTTACAGATCAACAAATGCAATGATAATATGTAAACAGGTTGTATTTCAAATTTATAAACATTCTCAAAATTGAAACTGCAAAAAATAGTTTAGAAAATGTATACATTACTCATCCTCAATATCACTCTGGATAAGGTAAAAAGTTTATATTTGAAAAAGAAGAGAAAGAGAGAAAATATTACAAAGGAAATAATTCAAAACATAACATATCAAGTATTTGTAATGATCATTATAATTAATTAATTTCTTACGTAATTGACCAAGAAAATAGTTTTTCAGAAGGTGTTGTAAATATTTTTCACAAATATAAATTAGTACGTGAAATAATTCAATTTTAAAGGAGGTTAACGCCGTGAGTGGACTCCAAAGGTAGCTCGCTGAGTAACTCGCGAAATTGAGTGAAGCTTTCAAAAATTTCGTTGAGTGGAGAAAAAAAAAGTCATTGGGAATATGAACTGTGAAAATTTGCAAAGTTCCACTCATCTACATGACCGAAAGTTCACTCACCTTTTTTCAAAGTCTCCACTCAAATGAGTGGAGAAAATTTTCATTAAGAATATGAAATTCAGTGAGTGTGAGTGGCCACTCCCACTCAGGGCGAAAAAATGGCATTAAGAATGTGACCGTTAATGTCAGTCATATTCGCAATATAATAACAAAAATTTGAAATTTTCAAAATCGAGTTTTGACCATTGTCGGGTCAAAATTCTGCATCGCCACGACTTCTAATGGCCACTCTAGCATAGATAGGTGTCTGAATTTTAGATGTATGTACGGTTGCTAAAATAAACTTGTAACAGGTCAATTTACCTTCGCAGCGTAACCAAGAGCAAGGTTCTTGAATACCTGTCTCCTATTAAATGCATCTTCCTTGCCGAGTTTCTACAGTATTACGGTGGGAACCTGAAAGGGTGAAGGCATGGTGGCGCCTTTGAAGACCTTTTTCGGATTATTGAGAAGGGTCATTCCACTACCTTGACTGCAACAATTTTTTTTTATAGATAAGTCTCGCAGTCGTCTAATAGGCATTAATATACACGCTTACTCCGCGATGTATGTTGAGTTTCCAGTCCGGAATGGGTTTGACTTTCGTCACAAAATCAACTGTTCATGTTAAGCTAGGTACGTATTTATGCAGTTACTTAGGCACGTAGTTGCTTACTTATTTTGTACCTTTATTTAATATTTATTCAAAGAATGGACCCCATTTGGAGGATATATTATTTATAGTGAACTTAACTCGCCAGGTTTATTTTAGTGGCAGTAACTTGCATAGCTGATGGAAGAGGTTGGGAGTTGCAAGATTCGGCTAAAGATGTTTCAGTTCGTTGATCCGTACTTGGAAAATATGTAGGAAGAGTTCTAGTAATTTAAGAAGACATGAATCGTATCATCATTTGGTAAGGACATATTTGTAGATATGTTTTTTATTAGATACACAGTTTATTAAGTACATTGTTATGCGTTTAGTTCGTGAGTATGTATATTTTAAGCAACGATTGTTGTACATATTTGTCATCTGTAATTTTACAAGTTTTGTGATATTTATCAGAAATATATATGGTAATGATGGAAGACATTCGAGGTAATAAAGGATCCCACTTGGCCACAATGCTACACGAGGTATTACATATTAATATTGATATTTTAACTATTACTAAGTTGCGTATAATAACTCGGATATGCAAAACTGGGTGAAATTTGTTGTCTAGATTGTATCCAAAGTGATGAACTATATCCAAGTTAAAGATTTGATAGTCTGCACCCAAGTTAATTCCAAATGGGAAGAAGAAGCTCGAAGACATCTCCGTACTAGGATTAAATCTCGAGTGAGTCTATCGCAAGACGGGAAGATGGAAGGTCCATATAATCGAGAACGAGTCGAAATTGGTTGGACTAATTGTGCGGATTTGACCGAATTTCTGCGAAGATTTAAGATCTTCGCGGTTGAAAATCGAAAAAGGGTGAGACACCTGAAAATCGACGTTTTCTTGGATGAAGGACCCGATACCGTAGAGTTGTTCGAAATTATAAAAATTCTTGGGGATAGATTGACATGGCTGCATTTGGTGCCATTTCTGGTTTATCCGAATAGATTGCAACGGCGTGGAAACTTGGCAGGATTTCTGGCTGATTTTAATACACGAAATGATTTAGTGTTCCCTCAGATCCGGAAGGTTAAGTTTGACAAAACTCGAATCTTGCGGGACGGCTGGGGCGTTTGGGAACGTGGGTTGGCGTCTATTGAAACAATTGTGGCTAAATTTGCCCCACTGTTCCCAAACGCAAGGGTGGTTAAATTTAAAAATGTTGAAGAACTAGGTGGTAATTTTCTTTTTAGTGGAAACTCGCCTCCTTTTCCTAGAATGGAATTGATGTCAATTCATAGCGACGGCGAAGTTGATCCTAGTATTCGAAGTTTTTGGGAGTCAAATATGCCACTAATTTACTTGACGAGGTTGGAATTTAATGTGGCACGTTGTGACACGGCTGGTGTCATTTTATTACGTGTATTTGCGCCATCTCTGGAGCACGTTCACATCTCAGGGATAGACTGGTTTGGCGTGGGGAGTAACGTGATTGAGATTCCGATCATGGAAAAGTTGAAGATTTTTAAAATTTCGCGCGACATAAGGTCTGAATGCCGCGCTGTGCCAAGTATTCGATTCAAATTCGAAACTGAGGATGTCGCAAATAGGATTAGAATTGATTATGGGAAGCAGTTTCCAGTCTTGGAGAGTCTCGTGGTTCAATGTAAAACTTGGTCGAGAAATAATACTGATCCGGAGATATGTTTCGAGTCGAGCGCGCAGTTTTTGTATGCGACATTCCTCCCGGGAAATATTGCAGTTTGTGAGACACTGCGGAAATTGGATGTCCCGCTCCCTCCAAGAGATAGGTTCAGGTTGATGGTGGGAAATGATAGAACGAAAGGCTGCTCGTATTCTGTATGCAATTGTTGGGAGTGGGAAAAGTCGAGTAGGTTTCTGGATCGGGTTGCAGCTACGTTTCCCAATGTAAGGTATGAATATTTGGAGGAGAGGAGATTACGAAGGAGGGCGGATGAGGTTAAGGAATGGATTAAGATGGGGATTGCTATGGGATTGCTGGTGACCGGAAGTGGAGAGGGCGACTGTGATGGAGATGGGAAGGGCTTGAAAGTAGGTGAGGTTCTGGTGAGATTTCGGAAAAGTGACAGCGAGAGTTTGGAGTACATTTGATTTGTGGAATTCCCTGCTGACAGTGAATGAATGTTCATGTAACAGTTTACCGTATATATGTGTAAGGATTTAGATTCTTAATGGAAATATGAATTTTTAGAAATAAATTTCTGCTACTTAATTAATGTGCGTCACAAAGCGTACTTGTAAGGGGCTATTTATTTTTTTTTTGATTTCTGTAACCAAAAATCAAAATGATATCATTTTGAATTTTGCGAATGCTCACGAGAATTTCACCTCAAATCACGTGAGTTTGGCCGCTTTTGCGACCTGAAATTCACGTAAAATTTTAGTGATCACTCGACATCACTTAAATTTCATGTGAATTTCACGTCGCAAAAGCGGCCAAGCTCACGTGACTGAGGTGAAATTCACGTGAGCATTCGCAAAATTCTACTTGGGTAGTTTCTAGATGTTTATTATAATAATATGATTATTTATGTAAAATATGTAAATTTATTTTCAATGGATGTGTAGCTTATTAGTTAAAATAAATTCCGTTGTATAACGTACGATTGAGAAAAATGTAATACAGGAAAATTCAGGAATTGAGGAATGCAGAACAAAATTGAAGGAAACTAGTACATAGTTTAAAAAATGTTATAACATTTGTAAACGTTGTTTACAAATACAAAATATTTATTATATTTTGAGACATATGAAAATGTTAAATTTTACTCTAAAAAAAATTATATTGGATTTGTGTGAAACGAGGAAATTATGCGACTCTGATGATTCGTAAATATAATAATGTGTATTTGAGAGTAATGCTTACATAATAAAGGTAATTAATTAATTAATTGATTAAGGGTTACAAAAATTACTATGATCATTCCCAATTGTGCATAAAAGTTGGAGGCTATTTGTTCAACTTTCACAGTTGAAAATGAGGTGTATGTAAAAAATTAAGGAAGGTATTGTGAAGCCCAGATCTAAATAGGATAGATTCAAATTCAAAATCTGGCCGCTTCCAATGTTAATCTTATGGGCACGTGCTTTTGGCGCGTGAAAATTCTATCCCAACCAGCCACTTTGACGTAGAGAGACCCAGCCCAGATGCGAGAGTCGAGTCAGTCTATTGGAAAGTCCAAGGAAATAAATGAGGGACAACTCACCGATCACGTGACTACATGCATAAGGTGCACGCATGCATTACTTTGATTTTTGGTGTTTTGTTTTCGAAACATTATATGAACATCCAAATAGTCAGAAAATTATAGTTTAAGGTCACAGGTCATACCTCTTGAAGGTCACAAGTCATGAGGTCACCAAATTTCGACCCTCCTCAATATTGGTACCATTCTAAAGGTACTACATACCAAGGGCTTCTAAAAAAAAGTCATCATGACTACTGTCATAAAACCACACCCAATCCCAGGGGAGTGGTTAAAACTCATCATGTATTCCTAGTAGAGCTGTGCAGGGCTCAGTATTTTAAAAACCCTGCCCGCCCTACCCTGCTGACTGAGAAACCCGCCCTGCCCTACCCTGCTGAATCGGTTTGAAGAAAATACCCGGCCCGCCCGACCCTGCTGACTGAGAAACCCGCCCTACCCTACCCTCCATGGTACGGCGGGTACTCTACGATTTTGTCCATAAAATGACTACCCTATGAGCCCCATGCTATAATTCCTGGGTTAAAATACAGCTAAAAGAATTAATACAACGACCATAATCGTGGAAAATCTTTTTACTTAACAATACAATATGAATATAAAATTTCTGTATTAAATTTTCTAAAAAAATATGTTTTTCTAATTTTTTGGGGATCGGGTAAAACCCTACGCGCCCTGGCAACCCTGCGTACCCTGCGGAGTAAAACCATGGCCGCCCTGTACCCTGCTGAACTCAATTGTACAAATACCCGCCCTACCCTACGCCCTAGGGTAGGGTAGGGCGGGCACAGGGTATACCCTGCCATACCCGGCCCTGTGCACAGCTCTATTTCCTAGAGAAATCCTTTATGCTATTATGCTATTATCCTTATCTTATTACTGTTAATTATATTTGCTTGTTTGTTTGCTTGCTTGTTTTGTGATTAACTTATAGAATGTGTACCTTGTAATGTGGAAATGTGTATCTGCCTGGAACTGACTCATTTTCAAGCCAGTCCAAAAACTACACTCGAAAGTGACAGAATTGAATGAACGAACCCAGCGCATAGAAATCGTATCTTATCACGCACCAATTTTATTGGGTCACTGATTAACAAAACTATTTGGGTTGCATAAACGAACCAAATTTGATAACGCTCAACCTCATAAATCGGCCACCCTCCTACCGAACCAGCAAAATATCCACAGCTCCCAAAAAAATAAGATTTACAAACCAAAAATTTGTAATTGTAAAGATGGCAGAACCCAACGCCATTGTGGGACTCTTATTTGCCGTTAGTATCCTGAATCTTAATTTAATTTCTTTTACTTCGCTTTTAATTCAGAATAACTAATTAATTTCTCCTAGTTTCTCGCCGCTCAATTAATCTCTACACAAAGTTTGATCGTCAATATTTTCAACCGGGAAGAATATTCCTCATATTCAGATAAAGCCTCCAAGTTTTTCATCTGCGCCCTTGCCGCCATGATAATTGGTCTCGTTCAGCTTTTTACCTCTGCCCTACTCACATTTAAGGTATGTGTGCAAAAAATTCTGTGCAGATGTTTTGCAATGATTTCAATTTTTGTTAAAAAAACGGATTTGTAAAATTTACAGGAGACTTTCATGAAGCTTTGGGCTATAATAAATGCCGTAGTTGCATTCTGTTACGGGATTATATTCCTCGTCAAACTAGTAAAGAAGGAGGAACTCCGAAATAATGACATTGAAACGGATAAGTTTGACACAATGTTAATTTTTAATTCGCTCCTCCTATCAGCCATTATTTTGAGTTATTTCCTAGGAAATAAGGTTAACGTGTAACGGAATATTTTATTTCGCACAATGAACGTTAAGGCATTTCCGAACCGTCTGATAAATTTATTAATAGTTCATCTCCATACATACATGTGTTGAGAGAACAAGTTATTCGAATCTAATAAAAATATTTTTTTCACTTCATACGTATCCCACAATCGCATCCATCCATCGCATCCATATATATGCACATAAGTAACTTTGGTTCAAGTTCACATCCCAAATTTCTTAGTCGGTCGGATTGAACTTAAATGACAGTTCGTGGATTGGTTGATTGCCAAAGGCATGTCCAAGTGATTACGATGTAAATTCCGTAATCCTATGATACCTCCACTTGGTTTTATTAGACATGAACTAGAAGGTTATTCTTCATATATGACTTCAAATTACCCATAATTAAAACATTGAAGCGATAGCTTATCAATAACCTTGAAGTCAATCTTTCGGGACGGACAGACAGTCAAAGGATGGGCTACTCTGATTCAATATTTGTATTAATGATAAGTATAGATTAATAAATCTGTGTGCCTACGCGTGCTTAAATCGACGAAATGTGATAACTCCCAACCCGATTATTCCGTCACCATCTCGTCATAAATTAGTCCATATTAATTCCACCACAAATCTTACTGTGTAAGAATCTGTGATTTTAATATACGAACTAAATTGATAAAGTGAATAGGGCTTCCCACCGGACGGGATGAGGGCATCCCGTCCCGTCCCGAAAATCTTCTGGACATCTTGTTTCTGGTCGGGACGGGACGGTTGGTCATCCCGTCCCGAAACCCGTCCCGTCCCGGTCCATCCCGATCGGAACGGGACATCCCGATTTTTCCATTAAATTATTAAAAATACCGCAAATTTTTTTACGACTCATAATTTCAAATATTTTGAAAATTTCCAGTATCTTATTAGTAGTTCAGTTTATAGAAGTCGTTGTATAAATTCAAGTTACGTAAAAAAATGATATATGTTAGTAATAATTTCATTTTCAATTTGAAATGAGTGTAAACATGGTTAAAAAGTACAAAAAACTGATCTAAAAAATTTAATTAATAAATAAAACTACAATTTTAGTCAACATTAAAGTTGCCCATGAGGTGAGGCAAACTCACCTTAAATGAGGTGAAATAAGTTATGAGGTGAGGTGAGTTGGAATATTCCTCAACTCATTTATAAATGAGTGAGTTGAAAATATGATGAGTTGAGGTGAGCTGAAGGTTGGTGAGGTGGGTTAACTCATGAGTTGCCTCATTTAACTCATTTAGAAGTTTTCAAGATTGACAATTGTCAGATTCATAGTTTTTTCTCTATAATATTAATTCAAAATTAGTAATTGATTAATAGTAATGAATAATTGAGTTGTTTTTACTAGTAGTAGACATTTTTTGGTTGGTTTATGGTTGTTTTGTGTAATTTTATGGTTTTTTTTCAACTCATATAACTCATTTAACTCACCTCACTTATTCGTGAGTTGAGGTGAGTTGAGGTGAGTTGCTATTTTGGTCAACTCATTAACTCACCAACTCACCTCACTTATAAATGAGGTGAGGTGAGTTGGGGTATAACTCACCTCAACTCACCTCATGGGCAACTCTAGTCAACATATTAAATATTTTCAAAGTAAACCCAATTTGGTCAAATGACATTTGTGTTGGCATTTGAACCCAATCGTTAAAATTACGGAGTATTTAGAATTTATAAGTGCAATAAATGCAAAAATTCTATAAATATGAGATTTATATAAAAATTTTAATATCGCAACAACATTTAATGAGTTATTTCTATTAATGATCGAAAAAAATTGGACAAAACTAAGAATTTTTAAAGAATTCGCGATGTCCCGTCCCGTCGGGATGGACCGGGACGGGACAAGCGTCGTCCCGACCCGAAACCTGTCCCGTCCCGATTTGATTTCTGGACAAAAAACTCGTCCCGTCCCGTACCGAAAATTTCGGTATTCGGGTTTTGGTTTCGGGAAAATTTCGGTTTCGGTACGGGATTTCGGTCCGAAATCCCGTCCCGTGGGAAGCCCTAAAAGTGAAGATTGGCATTGTGGCTTGGAGTTCTTTATCTTCCAGTATAGTTCGGCAGGTCACTTTGTGTTTATCAGGAAATTAAATTTATTATTGTTAGTTTTAAATTTCGCACAAGTTTTTGTATTAAAAATTAATATTTCTCATTTATCTCATATTTCTCAGGGCCTAGTGAGATAATAGATATATATCATTAAATCTCATTAAATCTCACTAGGTGATATATATCACTTGCAACCCTGAACTGAGATAATTAAACTTTCATAATTTGAAACGTGCCCAGATTCGCGGAAAAAGATTCGCAACTTCATCAATTTGTAACTTTTTGAAAAATCTTCATCCCAAGGGGGCAGCCTTGGTAACTTTTTAGAGGCCGTAATAATATAGATTTTGTAATTGTAGAGATCAAGTATTACGATTAATGATTCATTATTACTGAATTACTACGAGATCACTTACAAATTTTTACCGATTAGTTAAAAAACGTCCTTACATATTACCAATAATAAATTGTTTAACTTTAAATAGGTAAACTTCACTTTATCTGTGCAAATAGTTACACAAATTATTTAGTTGCATAAGGCTGCATCACTCAATAATCAATGGATGACATTAAACATGTCAGATAAACTCTGTTGGACACAATAAGTCAATTATGGGCTTTCATCGAAAAGGAGGTCAGATATGTGTTCATTATGTTCCCCTTCTAAAGTTTGGATTACATACAATAACCTAAAGTATTATAATTATTTAAAAACTAGCCGATCCGACCTTTTGCGACATTATTCAGTCTTATTGAAGGAAGTAAAGTCGTGGTGCGGAAACGGATAGTAAGATTTATTTTCAAATATAAATATCTATTGCAGACTCTAAAAACTATGGTAATAACGTGTTAACCCGTGTTCTCTCTATATACATTACTATGTATACAGCCATGGTAATAAATTTGTTACACTGTTGGTAGTGTTATATACTTACTTTGTGGTTGCATTTCTTCAAAGATTGAAACAAATTATTATCCCTCGGTGATACATTTGTTAGCACAGTGGTATACACATGTATGGAGTGGTGCGGTAGACCGTTGTTTCAACGGTATGTAGAGTGTTGGTTCGTATTGCGGGATGTAAAATATTCTACTTATTTCTATAGTTGGCAGGGCTTCAATGAGACGAATTACAGCAACCCGCGGATGTTCGTATTTATTTCGGATGATGGAAGCATATTCTGCCACAATGGGACAATTCATTCAATTATGTCTTTAAGGTTTACGGGACCGTTGGAAACAATGACGCCTTCAATTTCAATTTACAGTGGGGCCAATTTTGATATTTCGTCTGGAATTGAACTAACTTTTACGGGTTTATCTGCCACTAATTTTGGATTTGTTCCAAAATATGCGGTTCTTACTGGGAGGTCGAGTTGGACGGGATTTGAAAACGAGGATTTTACCGGGAACGCCACCTGTTTTGAAACATTGCGAGAAATTGAAGCCACATTGTTGGGGGAAAAAGAGATTAGGTCTTTCGCACAAGGATGTAACGATAGCAAAATATGATAATAATAAATAATTGAGATGTCGATTATTCTGTGTTACGTGATTATGTTTTTAATTACGAAAATAATAATTGGCCCGGATCATATAACGATTGTGTTTATTAATAACTAAGTCTACCCTTATAAAGCGTACATAATAAGTATGCATTAAACCATCATCACTATAATAATAATCCCTGGTCTACTTAACTAGGAACATCCGAAACGTTAGGGATGTATGATGATTCCGATAGTTTTGGTTTATCCTAGAATTTACATTAAATACTTAAATTCTAACATCGTCATACGTAGCACGGTACACGAATAACTCAGCTTATTGATGAACATTTAGAATCCTTAATTATATAAAAAGTATAATAATAGTTCCGACTTCAATGAATGACAAACGTGGCAAACTTCAACGACTATTGCTCTTATCATATCTTTGTTACCTGATTGTGATTTACTGTTAAACTGTCATTAAGTCACGAAACCATTTTTCTACTAAATACATTTGACCACATGAAACTAATATTCGTTCGCAATGAACTTATAATACCTTTAGTAAATTTAAAAACCCAGACACGGATTTCAATCACAAGTACAAAACTTGCCAATAAAAATATCGCCCCGCAAATAATGAATAATGTTAGGATTGTCCCGCCTAACTCAACTGTCGGCGCCAATCCAGCAATTTCACTCTTTCTAGTCGGCGTACGATGCAAGTATTTCCTTCGCATTGCTTCCTCCTGTAGTCTACCGTAGATTCCACTCCAAATCAAGCTTTTGAAATATTCAGGAACTTTCGTTATTCCACCGTCATAAAATGTCCAGCCGGAATTAACCATCCGCAGAATTTCCTTACCTTTATAAAATTCTTTGGAAGGATAGTGCCTCCTCACGAATTGAAATTCGGCTTCAATTTCGTCAGATTTTACGATCAAGACTGATTTCCCACAATCCACTAACTCTTCCTCAACACTTCTTCGCACCTGAAGCTCGGTCTGTTTAGGGTTCGAATAATTAAAAGCTGTCGGATGATGGACATGTCTAGGATCTAGTAAGCTGACCAATAGAAATGAATTTTTGCTAAAAACACTTGATTGTTTCTCATTCCGAAAGTTCCACCAAAAATAGTCGTACATATACTCAAGGAACTCTGGAAAGTTGGGATATCCCGATACATCTCGACTTGATAGTGACAGCAAGTGAAAACATTTATTGGATGCGAATGGATTTTTAAGCTCCCTGATATGCTCATTCCCATATGGATCGTTTGTGTACATGTGTTTAATATTGGCTAAGACAAAAAGTACGTACAGGTACCACTCTACCCTTTTATATCCATGTTTAAATATAACCTCGGGTGAATTCACTAGCACGGAATAATTTTGATTCTTCATGGAGACCAATGATTCCTGATGGCTGCTCATAGAGTTGGGCAATTTTGTCATATCGCCCTGCCCCAACCTCTCACATATCAGATGGTCAAATAAGGTTGGGCGAAAGGCTCTGAGTGGCGAGTTAAGTTCAGATATCATAATTCCATTATAGCAATTTGTCAGAATAACAGAGACCAGACACCATGAGCCGAGCGTTAGGCGGCAAATCGAGTCCACACCAATTTTCACAGGGAGATGGCCAGTCTCCTCGAAAATTGTGGCCAAAATAAATAACCAGGGAGCAAATGAAATATTACCAAATCCACGGTAATATTTGTATAGTGACATGAATACTGTAATGGTAATTATCGATATTACCAACGACAGCCACATCATTGGTTTATATGGCGTAATATACAATTCGAACGTGATATATTCATGTCGATAACATGTTAAAAATTGATAACCTGAAGTTTTAGTAACGAGAGATTCAGGACCTATCAAGGATTCAACCTCAAATCTGAAGGTGTAACTGCCACAGCTTTTTGAAAAGGTTATTGTCTCGTTTACCGAGCAGCTTATAATTTGCATAACTGTCTCTGAACGCGTTTGCGTTTGCGTGATGTTAAATGGATTTTGCTGTGCATTACAGTTCCATTGTTTAAGATCTGGTTTACCTTGACCTTCGTAGCACCATCCTGGTGAAAGCGTTGCAATATTTTTAATATTCTCAATACTAGCACTGCCTTCCCGCTTACTTAATCGATATGCTGTTTTGTGACATATTAAATTTGTATCCAGATAAGATACTGAAATGTCGTCGTCCCATAAATGAGCAGACCATGCGCAAAGTTCGACTTGGTTTTCGAATGAAATAAAAATAACAGATATTCGGTGCCGCACATTAGTCCAAAAATACACGGATCCCAACCATTTCCTCATAATAGGTGTAGTGACAAATGTCATAACAATATCGTCGCATCTTACATTATGTGGAACCATACTACCATCGTAATCGGATAATTCGTGATATTTAAATTGACCGTAAGTCGCACTAGTTATCCAGTGATGCAAGTTAAGTGTGGGGCTAACCCTTACTTCTTCAACTTTGAGGTGAGGACTGGAAATAAAGATTGCAAATTTACGAGACGAACTAGCGCGCGATTTGAATATATTCAATATATAATTTGCAAATATTCTGGACTCGCAAACTTAAATTTCACCATGTTTAAAATTTTTACTGGGAGGTTTACATTAAACCAATCAACACTATTGTAGGATCCGTCGTGTAGTATTTGCACATCGCAGGATATCAGATTGTCTAGTAAGATGTTAAATGCTGGAATAACGCCATTCCGTAACCCAGCTCCTGACGCGTTATGGACCCAAAGATATAAAATAATGTAAATATAACTGGGTTTCATCTCGATCCGTTTTAATTTACGTGTGTCCACAAATGCACGCAAATGCTTAGATGTTGGTATGGCAACCAAGAGATGGGGCGTTTAATGTCCCAATACCTACACAAAACACGAGTTGCCCTCATATAGGAAATTGTACTGACCGATGTATGTAGTTCGGACCGCAATGAAATTGAGTTTCCAGGAAAACTTTACGAAAATACGAGGTTGTAAATTTCAAACTTACACAGAGGAAGTTCAAAACTTTCTAGTAATTTTGGGGTGTGGGAATAACATAATATTTAAGCGGAGATACACGAGGGATTCGTAGAAACTAGATAAATCTGTCCTTCAGTATGACGCTTTACATACGTGGGCAATAATACATACGTGTCTTATGCACATCGACGGTATAAAAATCTAATTACGACATACACAATATCGTAATTATGTAGTTTTGTCCTCATTTCTAATTTTGGCCTTGTAAATATTTTATATGCAAAGTAGATATTCATAGGTACGTAGGATCAGGGTATTCATATTTTACATTACAAACCTACCTATATCCAACAACAATAGGCATGTAGTCTTACCCACTACATGTATATATCTACGAGCAGACAAATAAAGATTGAAATTGACAAACCCATATTTAGATTCAACGTTTGTAATGGACAGCTCATAATATTATCCAATTCAAATCATTGCATGAATATGCAATTATTTAGTAATACCAGTATTTGTGAATGTAATAACTAACCAGTATTTCCATCGAAACTCAAAAAAAAAATTGACTCCTTGCTACATGAAAAAAGTTTTGTTAATAAGAGGACGGATTGTATGCACATACAATTGTATTGATTGGTTAAACGTAAACCTCCCAGAACAACTTTAAACGGGTTGAAATTTAAGTGTGTGTGCCCTAAATGTTTGCAAATCGGTATGCTCTAATTCCACCGTAAACACTGCATGGGGAGGTTTTGTCCAGAGGGAAGAATTTATTAGATCAGCCATCATCTGGTGTAACAAACAAACGCAGAATGAGCTCACTTCTTCAATGCTTCAGCCACAAAATAACGTTTGCACAGGGTAGGCGGTAGGCGGTACATATTATATAACATGTAGGCGGTGAGTCCTATATTATGTAGGCGGTAGGCGATGAGTCAAACCATGGTAGGTGGTAGGCGGTGAGTCCCGTCTGATGTAGGCGGTAGGCGATGAGTCCCGCGAATATAGGGGGTAGGCGGTGAGTCCTACAAAGTAGGCGCTAGGGGGTGAGTCCCTTGGCGCTAGGCGGTGAGTCCTACCACATCTTTGAATTATCTTTCAAACGACACCCCACACCACATTCGACCACATTCAAATTTTTGACTTTATGACCGTGTTTTAAGGTCACGGAAGGTCACTAGCTTTGGGCGTCATTATTTTTCTTGAGCGTCTTTGAATTATCTTTCAAACGACACCCCACATGGCCCGTTACATCGAAAACACGGTCATGACCTAAGGTCGTGACGTATGACCTCCAAGTTGTCTTAAGAAAAAGGTTAGTGATAACCACATGCCGAAATTCGACTCCGTTTAAAAGTTATCATGCATACAATATTTAAGAAATGTGCAAAAATTTGCAAAAAAATTTAAAACCACTACCGAGAATCGAACCCGACACCTCATGATTAACTCCTCGATATGATCGCCTCTGAGCTAAGCTCACCTTAACTGCAAGAGGTAGGTTTTAAGAATGTATTTGTGTGGAGTGCTACCCAAATATTTGAAATCGTCATTTTGGCCAATAAATTCACATTGTACTGAAAAATGTGTAATATAAAGTTGAAAGAGCATTATGTTTTCTACCTAATCTACAGCTATGAGCATATATTGTCTTGTATCAAGGACCACTTTAACTGCGATTTTCAACATAAAATTTCAAAATTTTCAAATTTCCAGAAAAAGCATTGTGCAAACTTGTATCAGCTAATTATTTGGTCTCTTGTCATTTTTGCATACGAGGCATCGTTAAAAATTGACACGTGTGAGACCATTTCAAGGCCAACCTTATTTGCAGACTAGCTTACGCCGTGCCCCAACTGAGCATATTCAGTTTTTGGGGCCCAGCGTTCCGGCTTTTGGCCTCACCTAGGAAAAAACTAGCGGTATTGATATATGACTCAACCGCTTTTGTATTAACTCGGTATTACAAGTTATGCAGTAAAACTGCGGAAAATTCTATTTTTAATACATAATATATGAATCTAATTTCAATTAAGACATCTTATCAAATTTTAGCAAGTAATGTGCTGCCAGGAGTACTCTATAGTGCCACCATTTCTTTGAGCTTAATTGTTTTCCTTAAACCGCCATAGTTTTTTCAGGAAACAAATTTTTCGGAAATTTTTCATACACAGCACTCCTCTGGACCCTCAAGAATATTATTCCGTTGAGATTGGGTCAAAAAAATGTTTCCTCATTGCTGCAGGTAGTTGAGATTGAGGTCACCCAAAATGCATCATTTTGAATTTTCGCGCATCAGGGAGGCTTTAATTCGAAAAATGCTTCGTATATTTTTTGTGCACAAATCTGTTGTACACGTTACCCTATTTCCGGTTTTTCTATACCGTGCACCCAGATCATTTGAAAAAATATTTAGTGTCCCCGTGACCATATTACACGTAAAGGTCACTAGGTCAAACACTAATGAAAAATTTGAAAAACTGTAAGCGTACCCTATCCCTACATTTGAGAGGAGCGTCAAATGCCCTTTACCGCATCCTTCTATCTCTTAAGGGTTCCCCACACGACCCTCTAAAAATTAGCGTTGGCCAGCGTGACTCCATATTATGTTTCACATATACTTCCATGTAGCATGAAAGTAGTAGTGAAAAAAATAGAAAAATAGTACTTTATAGTAATAATTTCAATAATGAGCAGTATTAAATTTTAGCCATGCAATATTGACCTACTACCATGTCAATAGATAGATACTAGATAGTCAGATTTATTATTCGCAAACAATTATAGCCATATACAATTCAAAAAGAACAATCGAACCCCGATAAACAGGAAATACTCGATTGATCTGTGTAAGTCACAGATATATCATAAAAAAACAGAAATTCACAAATATGTAAAATATTTGTGAATTTCTGTTTTTTTATGAAGATAGTGCCAATACCACGTGGTAGAGCCCCATATCAATACCTTGGGTTATTGATTTTATTAATAGTTTATAGGTATTCAATATGTGACTAATGGTCAATAATACAAATATTATTTATTTGATGCACATTTAATATTTAGCTTCCACGCGGCACAATGAAAATTGAGGTCAACATTGTTGGATAATTTTTGAAAAAGAGCTTGGGTATACATAAATAAATACGCTTCAGGTTAGAAAGGATTAATGAGAATATTATGTATTTAACTGAACGTGGTTATTATTAATTCCACCAATGCGACCATACATAACTGAATAAACGAGAGATAACTAAAATACATATGTGCTAAGAAATCTAAATAAGCCCAAATGCATATGAAGGGTTGATAAATTCCATAAATTGATAAATTGTAAAAGGTAACAAACTAACAGTATGTGCATATTTACTTAACAATGTTTGAATCATGTAATTCTTACGTTGGGAAAGGTTATCTTTAAAATTCCGAATTAGCTCGTAAAACTAATCCCAAGATCTTGAGCAGGTGCAACAGTCTGCATACCTGTCTATACTCAGTAATGCGGAACGTATGCTTGCATATTTACTTACATATAAATACATCTGTGTCAATATACATTTGTACGTAGACACATTTATAAATTAATTACTAATTAATTATGTACTTATCAAGTTCCTGCCACGTGCATTCTGGCCAACCTTCCCGACACGTGGGCCAGACAAAGCATGCACCAAAACAAAGACTTCCGGAGGGGAAAATGTTGTAGATGTTCAACGCTTTTTTTTGTATTGCAATCGCAACATTGTTGCAATCTTGAAAGTAGGGAAGCGAAACTTGATATTGGAACAGCTAAATTGTTAAAATACTTAAAAAATGCAAATTTTAAAATTAAAATATTTTTGTAATCTAATAATATTGTTTGAATTTGCGTTGGCTGGAAGTGCAGAATTATCCAGGTTTGAGAATGATATCACCCTGAGCATGAATCAAAAAGTACTCTTGGACAAAGTAAAATGTTAATAAATAAATAGGATAACGCCCGTAATTGTGAGAAGAAATGAGGTTTGTAAAAATTTTGTTGATTTTTATAGTTTCGTGCCACGGTGGAAGACAGACTGCCTTTTGATTACATGAAGAAAGAAATTTACCTAGTTAAATGGTTGCGAAGTAGGGAAGAATTATATGTAGTTAAAATTTAAATGTTACCGGTGTAATTGATTTTCAGGTAGTAATTTTCAACCAGATTCAGCAAAGGAACGGCTATATCGGGTAAATTATTTTGATTACTCGGCACACACATTTCGGCGGTATGTTATTAGATAACGAATATTTATTTATTGATTTCTTCTCAATTACTCAGCACTTGCGGTGGCGAAGTGAGCACGGAATTGATGAAAAAATTGATTTGCAAAAGGATATTGAAGGTTGGAGAAGTGACTTCCTATTGATGTTTGATGGTCGAGATAAGTCTGGGCGGCCGTGTAAGTTACATAAGTTATGAAAATGATGTGTACTGTTCTACAGGATGTCGCCTTTTACAAATTGGTCTACAGAAGTATTTAGGAATTTATTTATTTGACAGTTATTTAAAAATCTACCCTGCAGAATTTAAACTTTGTGTCAAAAATAAATGTGTTTGTGCGTATCAAAATATTAAAATGGATTCATGAACCTTTTTACAGTTGTCTTGATTGACCTGAGAAATTTCGACGCCCGGCGTTTGATCCAGCAAGGAAAGTATGATCAGATGGTCAGATTGTATGAGCATATGATCGACAGGGCTTGCAAATTGGGGCTGGATTATTCAGAAAAGTATAAAAATATAACTCGTGGGAACGTGCTCGTAAACCTGGATGGATTTAACCCACAGGAAAATTCATGTTCTGCATGTAAGTCTACATGTAATCTACATGTAATCTCTGTAATCTACATGGAGAGTTTTTGTCAGTCCGAGGTTAAAGATTTAAAATTTTCCAGGTATTGCTATGATGGTTAGAAATATAGCGACATTCGTTCAGAACTATCCGGAATGTGTGGACAAAATTTTTATTATTAATGGTAATGGTGATTAAATATTTAATTATTATTTACGGTTTGAATTATGATGTTATGTACTAAACTTCTGAATTGTTTATGCATTGCAAAAATAATTTTAGCCCCATTATCGATCGACGTTCTAGCCAACATTGCAAAATCTGCGTTCTCAGAAGAAATTCGGAGGAATATTTTTATTTATGGGAAGGATCCCGGGGTTGTAAAAGAGGCGTTAAGTCAAGATTTCAACCTTGCCCGGTTACCGTTTTCCGTAATGGGTGATTACACAAATACAGCGAATGATATGATAATCAACCAAAATATGGACCAGACTGCTTTACAGTACTTAAACAATACCCGAATGAGATTGCTACAGGCTGTACGACAATTTGGTTTGGGGCTACGCGAATTAATATTAAAATTTGAAATTCACGCCATCTTATAAAGACTTGTACGAAATATGTAATAAAAAATTAAAATAAGTATTCCGTATGTTCATAAATAGACAAGCGAAGAAATGCGGCCTATGTATAAAGTTGTGTATCATATATATATGATACAATACAATGGGTAGATATGCGCTTGAAATGGAGTATGAGTTTCGTAAATTCGGTAAAAGAAAAGTTCTTGGATTTTGGGAAACTTTTGCAGTCCTCGGAAATTGGATTTCTAAATGTATGTATGTAGGTATGTAGGCCGTTCATCATAAATTTGTGTTTATGATTGCAATTGCTGTTATTTTTTATTGTAATTGTACTACTGTCACTGTAGTACTGTGACGGCAGAAGGGCTATGGAATCCTTGCGGAAACTGACAAACATAGCAAATCTGTTATATGTTCAATGCCTAGAAGCCTGTGAAATCATAATCACTGAATTCACTTCACACCTCTGTAAATACATGATACATATGTAAGTTGCTCAAACGTAGTCCATTTCTACGTATGAAACGAAACTACGACCAATGTCTTGTCCCATTCATTTGGCGCGAGATTTGGGACTTTTCTCTTTGTCAACTAATTTATTAACACACTCAAAACTTTCATTAACTCGCAATGACTCAATTCTATTTAAACTCAACTAATTAAATCAACAATTACTCAAAAATTACAGGAGCACCTCACTCTCGCTGTTCTCTCTATCTCGTTCCCTGGACGACTAACCATGGTCTCTCCATCACTCGCTAAACTCTCTTCACGAAACCATAATTGTATCCCTACAACTTCTCAATCTTAATTACTTAATAATAAATACAAAATAGATACTAAACTATTCTCATAAATCACAACATATCAAACACATTCATAAATCATAAATACATTTTACAAAACACTTATACTTATCTTATCTACAATTCTGATAACCAATAACTGTAGCACTCTTATACTTAATTTTACTCTACAGAGATGGCATGATCGCGGCTCACTTGTCCCTCACTACTACCTCTCTGTCTCAACTCATACACAAATAACGACATCGATCACAATCACCAAGATTTCGAAAAACGCTACCTACTATTCTATTTGAAAAGGGTCATAAATCAATAATTAACTAATCGCTAACATAATTAGTACTAATTAAGACTTGTGGACGCAAAACTAGCTAAATTATATCCATTTCAAATAATGGCGTCTTTTATCACGCCATTTCAGAATGTCTTCTTTTATCAAGCCATTTCCAATGGCGTCTTTCATCACGCCATTTTCTACTAATCGCAAAAATCAACTACAATAAACTTTTTCGACCATAATCTCATAGGATTTGACAGCTCTTCTTCTCGAACATACCGATCAACAGCAACACTCATAACATTTCCCTGGTTCCAATGTCGTGCCTGATGTTTAACGTTCTCTGCCCACCTGGGTTCCGTGGATGCTTTATTTTTTGCTCAGTCCCAAACAAAAACGAAATTAGCATACATACTTATTTGTGTGGAATACATAAATAAAATACAACATCTTGAATATTTATATGAGCAAAATTTTAATTGTACGCAATTGATTGTTAACCGTCATAGTGCATTTGAGTATTTCATGTGTAAAAAATTAATGTTGTTCACCATAATTATGCCGATTGTGCATTTATTAAATTATTAATTGTTAGGGTTGTATGTAGGCATTAATTAATTGAGTCTTCATTTACAAGGGATGATAAAACTGACATCCAAAATTCGATACTATTTTGAACAATATTTAAAAGAAAGTTGCAACGACCTGATTATCTGCATGCTTGTGATCAGAAGTAGGGTTGCCGCGGGTAGCGGGTACGGGTACCCGTACCCGCTTACCCGCCGGATTTGACGGGTACCCGTTTGTCGGCGGGTAGCGAGTGTTACCCGCGCGGGTAACGGGTAATTCAAAATTTAACATTTTTATCATCAAGCACATAATTTAAGTAGAAACGGACATTCTCTAATTTTCTAAAAAGTTGAATTAATTTTAAAACCGTTATTTAATTATGAAGTTACCTTAATGATGTTTTTTAATTTAAAAACTTTATAAAATCTCCATTATGCAAATCTATATTATAAATTGGAATCTCTGTTGGCAACGGATGTGACGTCACTTTGTGTGAAACGGAAGTGAAAGTGGAGAAAGTATGAGCGGCGGAAGCTTGGGGGACATTCGCATTGTGAGAGATGAGAGCGTGGGGTTTTAATAACATGGGAAGATTAGGGGAAAACTGAGTGGACATTGTCCCCCCGATTCTGCCGCTATTGGGAGAAAGTAACTTCCTTATCATTTGTATAGGAGAGGTGAAAGTCGATAAGACAGTTATCCTTCACATGATATTCCCCCCAGTATCCCGATAACCTAACCTAACCCAACATCCCATGATTCTCATGACTCCCATGTTTCCCATGATTCTCATGATTCCTATGATTCCCAGGATTCTCTTGATTCCTATGATTCCCAGGATTCTCTTGAAATTATGTTAGGGGAATCACAGGGATTATGAGAATCATGGGAAATATGGGAAACATGGTAAACTTGGGGATTATGGGAAACATGGGAATCATGAGAAAAGATGGAAAGAAATTAAAATTAGAGTACAATTATTACAGTACCAATATTTGTATCAGCATCGAAATTGGGACAGATGTACTTTCAAATATACACACCAGATATAACATTAAACAATTTAAGACGAAATTAGAGGGCGAGCGCCGAAGGCGCGAGCGTCGCAATACTTATCCTCATCTCCAAATATCCCGATATCCCAATATCCCGATATCCCAATATCCCAATATCCCAATATCTGATATCACGCTGACCAGCGTTACGCTGGGCTTATTAGCTAGTATTACATATGTACAGTCATTCCTAATTGTGGATCCACCGATCTGCCTATTTTGTTATAGGTCAGATTACCGAATGTACATATCTTATTTCTATGCAAAACCGAAGAATTTTTTGTCAGATTATCTAAGGGAAAATTGCAAAAATCAAGGACGATAGAATGATATTTTACTGACTACGTGTGTATAGGCATCCGCAACTGAGCAATAGATAGGTCAGTTTCAATTCATTGTACTTAGCTGTATCGCAATACAACCTCTTTATACAATTCCTGCTGGGTGAAGTAACTTTCTCTAAGACCCCGCAGTCGGTCTTCCTAAATATTTATTTGGAAATGAGTCAAATTTCTTGTTACAACCTTGTATTTGATGCTATTGGTAACTCTATACCAAATGTCTTCCGTCCACGAATGTTTTGAAATTTTACTTCACAAACTTGTATGACCCTTACTGGTCAACAACTGGTTCGACTTTTCTCATGCTTAAACTGGTTTCCTACTCCACCCAAATATAGATCGATACATATGGTGAAAAGTAAAAATTAATCAGTCTTTTGCTTAATTATAATATTTGGTCATTATATATTTGGTCATGTATATTTGGTCCTGATGGTACCAAAAGCCCTTCAGCGGACTGAAAACTATCAAGCAATATCACTATAACTTAATTATAATGACCTTACTTGCGGAGGCAGTACCCTTGATTAAGAAATCAATGAAATTTGAATTTTTGGTGTCTGTTTTCGTCGTTTTCACAGCGGGTAGCGGGTACGGGTACCCGCGCGGGTACCCGTGCTGGTACGGGAAATTGGCTAGCGGGTAGCGGGTCGGGTAACGGGTAGCAAATTTGCGACCCGCGGCAACCCTACCTGCAACCTGAATATTAAGTATGTACAGTTTGTGAAAATAATGTGGAGATATTATTGGGACACGCTGTACTTTAAATAGTATCAGAAACAATTATAATGGCAATTGAAATGATTTATTTGCACAATATTTAATTATAGAGAAAATTATTTTAAAAGCAAACTTAGCAAATATTTTCATATGCTTAGGTTACAAATTGTGCACTGAAATATTTTAATTTTTATCTTACTTCAAGCTAATTAATTTAATTTCTTATATCCATAGATGTTCTGGCAGACGCAAATGTAGTTTGGGGACTTTTCAGTAAAATCGCACTCCATTGCGAGACATTGAAGTCTGAAATGTAATGATAGCGGACGGAGACAAACTGCTCGAGCTGGAGTGTCCTCAGTGCATTCTCCCACGGATGCTGCATCCTCCCCGCACGCGTACCTCATATCGGAACAGAAACCTGAGGAATAACAATTATTGTAAAGTTTGAGGATTATATATTTTATGCGGTGTGATGATAATATATTTGTGTAGAATGTAGGTGTTACCTGCATTTTGGCTGGGAACTGTGCTTCCAAGAGCGAGAGATAAGGTGATGATGAGAACGAGAGCAATCTGAGACTTCATGGCTTCGGCAGGGTAGGAATTCTAAAAGTAACAAATTATTCTTCTACAATATTTTTAATTACCCCTTTGGAATCTTGGTAGTGAGAAAATGCAAGTGGTATTGTTATGTTCGTTACCACTTTGCAAAATAAATGTTGGTATGCGTCTGGTATTAAACTAATACTTTGCAGTATTAATTTCAATATTGATTGGTATTAGGTTTTTAACCGTGTAATATTAATCTAATACCAGATCACTACCGCGTGGTAGAGTCATGGTAGTACTGGGATTTCTTTTAAAGTGTAAGATTCCTACATTTTAAGAACTTAGTTTTAGGTAGGAAACGCATTCTATAAATGAACGTACCACCGTTGTCCTAAATAGTTTACCATATATAATTTCGATAATACAAAATACTACTCTAAAAATGATAATTATGTATTTAGAGGACACATATTTATATAGTTTAGTGTCATTCGGTAAAAAATTTAATTAAATAGAGGTATACATACTTATATGTGCAATGTATACATATATACAAATATTTGTGGTTGTGTTATATCACTGCAGTAATTATTTAGGGTTTTGACGGGTTTTAAATTTCAGGAATACGTACCTTGTCTGTAGTATATTTTGGGATTCTAACTCCTGACTTGGTTTAGTAGAACTGTTAACTGAGTTTGTTACTCGTTTGAATGAATTACAGTGACTGGAATAAATTTTTGAGAACGTTTTTTAGAAGCTGCTTCACCAGGTGACGATAAGTTTGGTACTCATCGGGAACAGTGACGGGAGTGAAATTTTATATCGTGTGTGGCTTGGTGTGTAATGTGTCGGACTTAAAAGCTATAATTAAACATTGGGCGTTGTCTGTATTGCAAGACATCAAGGAAAAGCCGTTTAGGTCAATAAGTAAGCACTTGGGGTTTATAATGGTTAGGGTTTTCTGGGAACCTACCTCATGGGGTGTCCATAAATTGGGTTCGTAGAAGTCCGACTACTGAGAAATTTTAAGTAAACCTAGATATCATGCACTCAAATTTTTTTCTTTTTCTATAATGAGTAAATAAGGGACCTATCGATTTAGTTCCAGATAGTTTGGCACATGCCTTGATTAAATTACATATTGTCGGTATAACTCTAAATATATCTAAGTTCAACAAAATTATAAAAGTTTTTCTAGGACTATGAACTTATAGGTGGGATAACCTTGTCTAATTACAGACATCACATTACATACTATCACTTCTAAGGAAAAAAGCCGTTCTCACCGGTCGTATAAAATGAAATCACCTGATTGGATATAGGTAATATGTAACAATTTCCAATGTCTATGCTCGAAACTGCGTCGTAGATTGCAATTTTTAAATTTCATCCTGGATTCCTAAATTTTTGCACACATATTCACCAACTTATGCTTCATCAAAATATGTAATCAGTTCCCGTTTGAATCACTGAAAATTTTTCAGGAAAAAAATAAAAACCAATCCTATTTTTATTTTCCGACGGTTTTTATTTATTCCTGAAAAATTTTCAGTGATTCAAACGGGAACTGATTATATATTTTGATGAAGCATAAGTTGGTGAATATGTGTGCAAAAATTTAGGAGTCCAGGATGAAATTTAAAAATTGCAATCTACGACGCAGTTTCGAGCATAGAGATTGGAAATTGTTACATATTACCTATATCCAATCAGGTGATTTCATTTTATACGACCGGTAAGAACGGCTTTTTTCCTTAGAAGTGATAGTATATGTAAAGTATTAATATGGTTTAAAATTTAGTTCATCGTTTTTTCATAATAATCAAACTTCTCTGCTTGCTAAGAAATCAAAACTCTGCGCAAGGATTTAATAATTTAACAAGAATAATGCCAAAAAACATGTATGTATTATGTACATATGTACATGTGTATGTATGTCCAAATAAGGAATGTTAGGTAGAAACGACGGAATATTTAATAGTAATAGATAATTATTGAATAAAGAATTTATTATTACATTTTTTATTGATTTTAAACCACGAGTCTCAATCTATGAATCTGAAATTACTCGGGTTGCTTTTAAAATATTACACTTAAATATTTGTAACTTCTTAATATGTATGTACATTCATAATCGTATATCGTTGTCATCATTCTAAAAAGACCTATTTGCAGTGGAGGTTTAATTTTAAAAAGACCTATGTGCATACATGTGTTTGGTTACGCATCGCAGTATTTAGCAATATGAAACCTCCACTGCACATAGGTCTTTTTAGAATGATGACGACGAAATATGTATTTGTGAGGAAAATTTATGATTTACTTAATTATTAATAAATTATGTATTTATGTAAAAGGTCATTGTCCGATATGACTGTAAATACATAAATTTCTGCCACGAGGCAGTGAGTTTTAGTCAAGAGTAACGTAAAACTTGGCCAAATTAACTGTTATCGACCACTCAATAAATACATCAATTTTACTATTTCGTGTAATTAAAATCGTTACCAATTTCCTCGCATTATTTGTTACATGAATGAGAAATACCAGAAAAAGTACTATATAACATTTAATAACACATTAAACATACGGATTCTCAGGCTTGCTAATTACTTTTAATTAGATATATGGATTGATTAAAATTATACTTACAAATTTTACGAATCAGGCTGGCATGGACAAAAGCCAGAAATTAGGGTGGAGCAGAAAGTGGTTGACTGGTTAGTGTGCTGGAAAAAGTTCGAATAAATTGAGAAATTCAGAATCTCGTGAGTTGATGGTTGACTCATGAATTTAAGTTAATTGTAGAAATAAGTAATTTTTATTTGTCCAAGCAGTGTGTGGATACTGTTCGTAAATATTTGAGCATCGGAAGGATAGATTACGTTTTATTGTTGACATTCACACGCTACATAATAAGACTAATAGATTTGGAGGGATACCATGGGAAAAGTACATTTCTGTTTCGCATCGATGTCACCTAATTTAATATAAAAAATTACAAACATAATTCCGTGTGTTAGGATAAATGTACCGTAGCAATTTTTAAATTATATACCACCACTCAGGAAAATGTGAGAAGGAATTTTGAAAAAATGAGAAACTTAACGTAAAAATGAGAGAATAAAAATTAGACCCCACTATGCACTTGACATTGGTTGGGTTTGGTTAGGTTAGTTTTTTTTCTCTCTCTCTCTCCGTTGATGGGAATGCAACTTTTGTCTCATTTCACATGGACTCACTCTTTAATCGAGAGCTAATATACTTACTTATACATATCTTGTTTGTTTCTTTGCATTATCTCAAGAAGTGGACGCTGCGACGACATATCTAAATGAAATTTAGATATGAATGACCAAAAATTCGTTTTGGGTAATAAGGAATGGTAAATATAACAATATATTTATTTACGAAAAATCCAAAAACAAGATCTGTGAACCACAATCCATAAACAAGATTGAATATCTTAATTGTTCCATGTGAAATTTCTGGTTGACCTTTTAGTGATTGCCCAGCCATGAAAACTGATAACATTAATCAATACGTTCCTACACAACAAAATACGTCATATTAACCTAACCTAACTATGTACATAATATATATATTACACAATTTAACTATATATACAAGGTTATGCGTACTTAATAGTGTACCTCATAATCATGTTGAATCATGTTTTATTCAATCCCAAATGGGAACATCTACATACAAATTTATATTTGGCCTTATTTCTCCAACATGTGATTTCTGCCAGAGTGGACGACTAAATGAATAAGTCGTCCGTCGCGTCAAGAGTTTTTAATTGGAACCAGTACCGCGTAAGTTAAAGCTGCGCTGAGCGCAGCGTACGTCAGCTGATATGACAAGCTACCCTTGGTGTAGCGTTCGCGTTTCCACGAAAACGCTCTGCTGAGCGGATTCATGACGCTCTCCTCGGCGGACATCAGTTCGTGAATTTGAACCATATCGTCGTACTAATTCTAAAATAAGCTATCTCAATCCCCTTCTTAATTTTATAATAAGCTATCTCAGTTCCCTTCTTAATTTTATAATAAGCTATCTCAGTTCCCTTCTTAATTTTATAATAAGCTATCTCAGTTCCCTTCTTAATTTTATAATAAGCTATCTCAGTCCCTTTCTTAATTTTATAATAAGCTATCTCAGTCCCCTACTTAATTTTATAGTAAGCTATCTCAGTTAATTTTTTATTTTATAAAGCGTGTAAGTATATTCTGTGAGTTATGTGCAAAATAAAACAAGTAAAAACACGTGTATGCAAGAAGGTATTTTAATTCTTTATTTTTTTCGCAAACTCATTCTAGAAAGTGAAATTGGTATATTGTAACATATTTAATATAGTTAATCGTTGACATAATTTTGTGCATCTATGAGTAGGAAAATTAGATCAATTTTTCAACACCAAGAATTAATTTTGCTAATTTTATTACATTCACGAAATAAAATGCATGTAATAATATCTAATTATGTTTGAAAGAGCAGATATATTTTTGTGAACTATTTCTGAGTAACATAAGTGTTTAATACATTGTCAGTAATCTTAAAACAAAACAACAACATTATTACAAATTATGAAAAATATGCACAAATTATATTAATTTCACCAACTAATTATTGACAAAACATAAATACAAAAGAATAAATTAGTTAATTATTCTTGGGCAAATCAATATAATATTGATGAAATTTTTTTGGAATCACGCGCAAAAGATCTTGAAGGTCGTTGTATTTACGTCTTGGAATATTTAATCGTGACTCGTATAGCGGAGGAAAAACAAAATCTTGAAGGTGTCTTGGTTCTCTTGGAAGGTTCGCCCAGTTCGAGCGGTAGTCCAACTTGTACTCAATTAGCCCACCTGGATTATATTTCAGTTGCCTTATATCTGTAACACATGGGTCGCCTGGTTTTGATCCTGGTCGAATGCTGGTATACTGATGCATTTCATTCCTGGAGTAGTTGGCGAAATACTCGTGTGACAAATATTTAACTTCATATGGAGATGGATTCGTTCTTGCTTCGATGCAAATATTTATGTAGTCAGTTGGCAAATAAATGGTCTTCTTTTTTAAATTGAACTCTATGGCGCTGTGGACAGAGTCGACCTCCATTTGTGTGTGTCCTTTTTCCAAAAATTTTTGTGTAATCGTTTTGTTATTTTTAATTGCGTGAGCTAACAATGCATTTGCCATCATGGTGTTCCGGTTTTGATTTGTACATCCATCACTGTAGATCACGATTGGAAGGTCATCGATAAATTTCTCTTCGATATATTTAATGACGCATGTGGCAAAAACAGATGAGACCACCTCCCCTTCCGACTCGTCCCAGAGGCAGCATCTCGCATCATGGCTTTTTAGATCGTAAATTGTGAAGTTGTGAACTACTAATTTCGATTTATAATAGCAGGCGCTAGCGTTGAGAAGTGGAGCAATTTTCACAGCTTGAACATCCATGACTAAAACGTGACATTTCCCATCGACGGCATCTTTCTTGTCTGCTGCCTTGGCGTCACGTGCGTCGTCCTTGTTTTGTATATGGATCCTCCATATTTCGTCGGAAATATTTCCAGCCGCATGCGCACAACATGTATCACATTGGTCTTTCTTAGGTTGGTATAACCCAATGTTCATCTCGTCAAAAATAGAGTAAAATTTAGGATATGAAACGGGTTTCTTGCTACAATTTTTGATGTGTGCAGAATATTCTGAGTAAAGCTGACTTTTAGAGGTAAATACAGGCTCCAGATACAACTTTGTACTACTTTGACGGCAATAATGTGATGGAAGTTTCGGCAACCCGTTCAAGTAATCCCGAGCAGCTTGGTCTTTATCTCCTCCAGATTTGTTATAGGGTCCTGTTTTTCTTCCTTTTCGAGAAATTTGTTTCCTTTTCAGCCAGCATTGTAGTTCATTACGCCCAAGTCCTAATGTATTTAGAAACATATTACGACAAACTTGATGCTTCTCACCGTCCAATTTTAAGTAGAAGACAAAAGTATTGGATCTACGAGATCCTCCCCCTTTCTTGACCACCTGTTTTGGCGAAATAATATCCACGAGAGATTGAACATAAGCCTTCTTCTGACCCCAATCCATATCTTTCCAAAAGCCATCGAAAAGTACTAGGCGACGAGATTCCGAAAACTTCTGACAATGTCGTGTCTTGCTCGTCTTACACCTTGGCGACATACAAGGGGGTCCGATAGATCTTGGAGGTCTTTGCATGTTCAAATTGGATGATGGGTCGTTTTTGTTTGCTAAAACACGTAAATATCCATCTCCTTTCATTCTTTTTAATTTTTGTTGCTCAACTTTCCAAGTGGTTTTGTCAGGCTTTTTCAGTCTTCTCCTTTTTAGAGTGGGATCGCCATGGAACTCGTTCTCCACGCCATCCAATTCTGTCAACTGAAAAAATAGACGAAAAATTACTACTCATAATTATCCGTTATATTACTTAATTATATTATTGGTTGAGTAAATAACAGCTTCTCTGTTAAAATTGCATTGCATGGTTCTGGCGAATTCTAAAAGTCCACTATATTATGAGTAATTTCTTTTAGCAATAGACATAACTTTGGGATTGAGTTAAATTGACAGTAAATGTTACAAAAAAAATACAATGCAGACATTAGTATTGGGGAAACTTTACCTGTAGAGTTGAGCCCGATATTTCTGCCCCATCTTCCGAATTTACAAGACTGCCTGTAGTTAAAGAAAACATATTAATACTTATTTTTTTTTGTACCAATTCTGTACAAATATTACTAACGTAATACCGAAATCAACACCCGCGGCATCGACGATTTCATCGATTGAAAATACTTCAACACCCTCATTTTCTTCTTCCTCGTCCTCAGTGGTCCCCTGATGAGAGCAGTCAGACGAGTATGCGTCAATTTCACTATCAGACATTTGTATTATTTTAATTACTATACAATTTAAAAAATTCTAGTAGAAAATTTAAGAATTTCTGCTTCCCAAAAAAATATCGCAGATGATTTACTCAGGAATTCCGCCATCGAGATATCCCAGGTGGCCCCGGAGTGTTTCTGTTTACCCATGGTACGATTTTACTATTTTTACGAAACATAATTACTAAATTTGTAATTCATATTTAATACGAAGTAATTAAAACAATTAATTTGTTTAACGCTAGATAGTTGATAAGTAATAACAATTTTGGATTTAATAACATGATGAAAAATTAGATTCAAATATCTTAATAATCCTAATATCTAGAACATGTTTCAATTTATGCATCGAGTTTACAATCGTTTGGAAATCAGCATATTCAAATCACGCACGGAATCCCGATGCAAATTTGCAATTTTGATTTCAGCTCGGCATATTCAGGTTGACGCCTTGAAGTTGACTCCTGGCTTAAATTTGGGTGACTGGATATATGTAGCAACTTTGGGTCAATTGTACCAATTGTCAATGTCATTTTGGTCAATTGTAATATCAGATTACCAAGGTGAGTATCATGCATTGGCGATAAAATATTCATATTTCGGTTTACTATATTGTTTTGAAACAATTAGTAATATTTGATTTACACATATATTTGAGTATGTACTACTTTTTTCATGAACACAGACTCTTACAAAATTAAGAATGGTATGAACTTAACTTGTTATAAAATAAAAAAATGAACTGAGATAGCTTATTATAAAATTAAGTAGGGGACTGAGATAGCTTATTATAAAATTAAGAAAGGGACTGAGATAGCTTATTATAAAATTAAGAAGGGAACTGAGAT